AAAAGTCATCATTTTCGCACCGTCCGCATTGTGAGATCGACATTTGGAGGACATTGGCGGGGCAGGGGGAAGACAGGGTAGGTTGTGAGTATTGTTTAAGGGTCGAGTATGTGGAGCTAAAATCATAGACAGGTGCACAGGGGATGGAGGAAACATACGATCGCTACCCGGCGTCGGCGTCGGCCAGGGAAAAGGGAGTGTCTGTACTAGTGTCTTGTAGCAGCACAACATTGGATTCGTTAGTCGCATAGCCCTGCCTCGGCTGTTACTAATTGCTTAGGTAAGCCCACTTGAACAGTCGGCTTACTGTATCAGAATCGGTGGATTCCAGATGTTGCACTAGGCCCAAAACAGACATGCTCAATTCCTTCCTGCAGTCAGGATAGCCCGAAGCACACTACGACCACGTGATCAAATAATCCGCATACCAGGCGAGAGGACCTGTTGGTGCAGTGATGAGAGCACTGATCGCTGGTAAGCAAACTCTAGCTCCGAATCTCGGGGGCGTGCAAATAGACGACGGCGCCAGAGGCGGCGGCGGTAAATAAGGTGAGATTTGTCATGCTGGCCTCACCGCCGCACCGTCTGTGAAAACTTTCAGTATTATTGGCAAAAGCACAAAAATAAATTGGCTCCACAAACGGGCGTGCGTACTTTTGCAAGGCCTTCCGTAAGGCGGTAGTTAGGTCCTCATCGAGGGGATGGCTGGCGTGCCGACAGAATGTCATGGCGAGGGCGGACATGACCTCCGGGCAGGCGGTCATCTCAAGACAGGAAAGAACCTACAGTTGCGAAAAGAAATGTTGAAAATGAAACAACAAACAAATCCAGTGACTGAAGTCTGTGCAGGCTTTATCCAGTTCATTCAGAGATAACACTTAGTTCGGAAGACAGAACAGAGAGAGCCCCCTTCCCCTGCTGGACGTCCTACTTAGCAGAAAGTCGGACAGAACAATTTGTGGAAGTTTATATTGTTAGAAAACATGGGCAGGTCTGTGCACACATGTCTGCAGTTATGTCCCAATAAGACAGAAACGAAATTTAATTCGTTGTCCCACAATTGACCTAGGGTAATGTGTACACCAGATACAACAGAGAACGGACTCGCCTTTATACAAGAAACTATGCAGGAAAACCGCTTTGCGAGAGGGTTATCACGAAATTTAAGGAGGAATCTGACGTGCCGATGGGACCTGTTTCCCACACTGGTACTCTGAGGGGATCCAGCAGAAGAACTTCTACCAGGTCGTTTAAATGCTGCTAGCGCGCGTCCTTATCCAGCCGCTAAACTAAGACTAATTTTCTTAAGCACTCAACTTGTTTGCCTTGGAGGTAAAGATAGGCTGCTCCTTCTGACCTCTTGAATGTGCATCCACGCATTCAAGTACTCCTGTGTGGCAGGTTCTGTTGGTCGAATTACTAGGCACTTGGTCAATTCGACGTAAAAACATCATCCTGCGGGACTAAACCAAGGCACGGATAAGTCCGGCAAGGGTGACATATATGAAACCATAAACAAGACAAGAGAATAGGCAGGCCCCGCTCAATTAATAAAGATGGGCCTGCGTATAAGTCCTGGAAAAATGAAAAAAAGTGGTCTCACTCTTAAACTTAACCCCACTATAAACCATCACTCTACGATTAACACTAGTTCTAAACCTAGCTTTGACCTTAAATATAAACTTTGATCTAACTCTGAACCGAAGCCTGAAGTTCCCAAAATCTAATAGGGGGGAAGTAGCAGAGTTGAATAATCTCTTTGACCCAGCTGTGAGAAATTCGGCGGCTTCTCTGGAACTCGAACCCACGACGGCAGTGGGAAGTCGTTCCCATAATAAAGCTGAAGTGTGGCGCAAAGCCACTTGCATCGCAGGTGGTTCTTGTGCTCGTCTTCTGTCTAGGGGACCATATAAGCCATCCTTGCTAAAATTCCATCACTATCGCAATTGTGGTTCACTTGTTTGACAACGGTTACCGGATAGACGTCCACTAAACATTCCAAGTTATACAGAAAATCAAGTAAGCGAACGAACGTAGAGGGTAGATTTGACAAACGTTTATGCAACCAATCAGTAGTAACTAGGGGGAGAGGGGGGGAGATGTCAAGGCATCAAAGGGGCTCAGATTCTAGTCATAATTAGGGACCAGAGAAGGGGAAGGGAGGAGGGGTCCGACAATTAGTTTATGTCGCCTCGTCGTCCTTGTGTCGTGTTTTGAGTCATGAATAAAGTACCAGCGAAACATTCCATGGTTCTGCGACAGGGGGAGTTTATAGAAATAACTGATTT